AAATTAATGATATGCTTTTACTTTATTGTCAGTATATTAAGCTAATACAAACAAATTCACTTTGTTTTTTAATTTTTATAAAATGAAGTCAAACAATGTTCTTCGATACGAGAAATCTTGGAATGTAAAAAATATCTAACACTACAGATAAGATTTCTAACTATTAATATTGTGGTAAACTACTCAGCTAGCTTACAAAACGTGTACCAAATAATAAGTTTACAGGTGAAACAATTTATTTTAATTTTTCTGAAAAATTATTCATTGTTATGAACCTTGCTGACTGCTGTGCTGTGACTTATCGACATTTTCATAGTATAAGGTTACACGCTGAGTCAGAGACAAGCATATATTGTAAATAGTGTCCGCGTTCATTATCATCACATCAGCTTCGGTCTGGAGATGAACGTAGAAACTAATGAACTGAGGTTCCTATGAAGAGATCATTTTTGAGATATCCGAATCTAGCTCAAGGCACTGCATAACCTCTCAGATAAAGCAGAGCACAATAGTGGGCAACAGTTTTTGCATATGGACAAAGTTGTCCGATTAGGTCTTGAGTATCCGCTGTTGGAACTCTCGCAACGAAATGTAACACAGGTTTATGTTTACAAAACGAGACATTCATTGGGGCCAATACAAAAGAGGTTAACGTCAGTTTAAGAACGTCGTTCAATAGGGCGAACGGCAAATGTAATTCTGTGAAAGCAGTGAATACCTTCCTGATTCTTTGAAAATTTAGAAAATAATGAAAATAAATCACAAATCCAAGATATAATCTCTCAAGCTTCCAGGTGGTACATGCATCATGTGTCGTCAAGGATCGTTAGGAAGTCTTATTAACTATCATTTTCCTGGATCCATTTTAAATAATGACGAATATCATCCATGTAGGTATATCTGCATATACGGGCTTCAGCTTTGTATTGGAAGGGAACCTCTAAGGTTGTTGTTGAAGAGAAAAAAGAGAAAATTAAATAGACGATTCACACTTTTTCTGCATTCAAAGGTATAACATGATTCGAAATATCCATCAACTGGCAAGAGTAATTTTCATTCCCAATGTAGATCGGACTTCCTACAACGAGGCTAAGGTCATCAGACTCGTATTCCTTTGTCTTTATCTTTGTAAGACAGAGTGATAAAGGCATGCTACTTCACAGTACACACACAGCCCGCCTATCAATCTTATAGAAACGGCAGTGCATGTTTTAGTATACAAAATTGAAAACACTAGCTGTCGGGGCCTTCTTGGATATATCTGGAACATTTAATAACATTTCCTATTCAGAGGGTATTTCACTGCACTACCTTCAATGAGACCACGGTTAAGACTATACTGGAAGACTGGAAGACTTTCTCCACTGCTGTGGTGGTTCGTGCTCTACGGTCTTTTCTAGGGGCTCAATTTTTATGCAGGCCTACACAAATAAAGTTATACTTTCCGGAAAATAACCAAGCGTAATTAGTGGGCCCTAAGTATGATTTAGAACTGACGTATATCACAGTGATTAAGAGTTAACCTATACTAAATCGGAAGATAATGAACTTTAGTAAGCCTATTGTCTTGAACAAAACCCTTCAGAGGTCATGAATGGAAAAATTTCTTGGGGGTACTGTGTGATGGCGAATTAAGCTGATACCTATACTGATAGGCAATTACAAAAGGCCACGGGCGGTCTTTGAAAGAAACTTTGTGGGAAAGTTGATGGGAGGCTATTGTCCTCGTCCCTGGTATCTGTCGCGTCATTCAAACAATACGCAGATTTGACTCTGTCTATGGACACTTTAACTTCGCGACCAGGCACTAGCACCGTGAATATTTTGTCGTCGCGTTTGATAGTTGTAAACGGACCATTGTATGCGGCAATGAAGAAATTCACCAGGTGGCCAGAAGCAATCCTGTTAGAGAACCAGGAGGTAGAAACTTTAACTCGCGCTTTATATGCTAATTGAAAATGCAGATTTGGATCATCCCTGCCAATAACAACGGATCCTGGTCGACAGTTCGAATCGCACATATGCAGACGTCTGAATAATTTACTAGGTACGACTCATCTCCGAACCACTGCATATCACCCCGCAGAAAATGGCATGGCGAATTTTGTTAAGGACCTCACACGTCATATGGAGAGCTTACGTCCAGCCGCAGTTAAACGCCATGGTGAGAAGACGCCATTCGTTATTAAAGACTTGGCAGCAGCATGTTTTTGTGCGTGCGGACAGCGTTAAAACTTAACTATAGACTCCATATGATGGTCCGTTTACAGTGATCAAACGCGACGAAAAACATTCACGGTACTAGTGTTTGGTCGCGAAGTTAAAATATCCATAGACAGAGGCAAACCTGCGTATTGTTTGAATGACGCGACAGGTACCAGAGACGAGGACAATAGCCTCCCATCAACTTCTGCTCCATTATACGTACCGACCACGCCCAGGGGAAATACCATGAGGTCTGGTAGAAGGGTTCGTTTCCCTGACCGGCTGCAGGTTCCGTAATGGCATCCATACTGGCAGGGGGCTGTGTGGGTACACATGTCTGCAAGTGATCCATTTTAAATATTACGTCAAGAGCGCCAGCCTGACGCCGGACGGCCTAATCGTTGCAAGCGACAAGAAACAATGTGCAACGCGGGATATGGTTCCTGGAAGAGGACTACGGCAGATTGGCGCCATGGACCAGATACTTAAACCTGCGAGGGACTCCACACTACGACGACTCTCCTGCGAACGCTCGCCCCGACAACACTTCTTTTTCACAAACTTTGTTTTCAATAAAATACTTTTATTTTTCCGTTGAGAGAGATTATTATCTGCTGCATATCGAAAGTAACCCTCAGCCTTATACTGCTGCTATTAGGCTTTCCACGGGTTATATCNTTCGAGCATTTCGAGTGGAATTTGACGAATGACCCGAGTAATGTTGGCTTCCAATTCCTCAATCGTATTCGGCTTATCCATATAGACTTTGGACTTCACGTAGCCCCAAAGGAAAAAGTCTAGAGGTGTGATGTCACATGATCTAGGAGGCCAATTCACTGGTCCAAATCGTGAAATTAACTGTTCATCGAATTGTTCTCGCAATAAAGCCATGGTTGCACGGGCTGTATGGCAAGTGGCGCCGTCTTGTTGGAACCAAATGTCATCGAGATTACGGGCTTCAATTTCAGGCAGCAAATAGTCCGTTAGCATGGCGCGATAACGGGCGCCATTCACAGTTACGTTCCTGCCGGCCTCATTTTTAAAAAAATATGGACCGATGATTCCACCAGCCCATAAACCACACCAAACCGTTGTTTTGTCTGGATGTAATGGCAGCTCTTGAAGTTCTTCGGGTTGTTCTTCATCCCAAATACGGCAATTTTGTTTATTAACATAGCCATTAAGCCAGAAATGGGCCTCATCGCTGAACAAAATTTTGGTCGAAAACATTGGATCTTCTTCAAGCTGTTCAAGAGCCCAAAGACTGAAACGGTGACGATTTGGAAGGTCAGCCGGCTTCAATTCTTGAATGAGTTGAATTTTGTATGCTTTCAAACCAAGATCCTTACGTAAAATACGCCAAGTTGTTGCATACGACAAGCCAAGCTGTTGAGATCGGCGCCGAATTGATTCATTATGGTCATCACGTACACTCTCGGCTACCGCCGCAATATTTTCTGCACTTCGTGCTGTATGCGGTCTATTTGGTCGCGTATTATCCAATAATGAAAATTGGGTTTCAAACTTCTCGACGGTGTAGCGAATTGTGCGTTCGGTGGGCCGATTATGTAGACCATACATATGTTGCTCTAAGAGCACGAAATACACACCTGGCAGAACGCTGATTCTCGTAGTACAGCTGAATTATTTGTAGACGTTGTGCCGGGCTAAGTCTTTCCATTATGAAATGTCAGAGAGTACTGAACCAAAATACCACGACAGTTCACTCGACTCATGCGTGATCTGTCTTAAACTCGCTACTGAAAAAAGTACCTCTAAATGAATCACCCGTTATAAATCCAAGAGATTGTGCACATATTCTGGAAAATCCTGTATACCTTCAACACTAGCTGAGGTACCGGTATCAAATTTGGTACACGATGTTGATGATGGCACATAGTTATGCTGAGTCACGAATATGTTGTGTCTGGAACACAGTTTTTCAGTCACTTTGGTAAAGAAAACATGGATTTTTTTTTGTCTCTTGAAAAATATAGGTATCCATTGACCCTGTAACATGGTGAATAAAACATATACTGGAAGGATTTTGATTAGCGGTTTCGAGTGAGATTAAAAAGAAATATATTATCACGGAATGGTATAACTAAAAATGTTTCTTAAACGTAATAGATCATGATTTATGATGTTGTACATTAATCAGTAAGTACATATTAGAGTGAGTTTCACTTTAAAGTGCGGGAAACCGACCTATATTAAAGCTTTGCTGAGATCTTCTATATTGTAATAGCAATTTCTTTTATTAGTGATACAATATCATGTGCCAAGTTTAATAAAAATTATTTTGCTAACACAATGTCACTACTTTAAGTCAATGCCATACTAGTGCAACAGTAGCATGTCTTCCACTAACGATTAAAAACAATTTATTTTTGGCTACAAGAATGGAAGTAAAATTTTTTTAACAGTAGCTAGATATTTTGGTAGAGCGTAGTAATTATTATTGTTGACTTGCAAACACGCGAGCTACGTAGTCATTTTCTCTCCAACATTGCATCAGGAAGAGTGNAGTTTAACAGTATCCGCCAAAACAAGTTGGAAATGAAAATCATCAACTGATAAAGCGAAACACTTGGTTCATTCGGAAACATTTCTGCATTAGATACAGGATATAACAGAGCCATTACAACAAACTTTCTGGACAAATTCCACTCGTCGGAACACAAAAAAATGTGTAGTAAGTAACCATTCCTGAATGGGTTCTATAATTCTCCAAAAAATGGAAGTGAACTAAAGTTTTTGAATTGAGGAACTACTGAAGACTAAATTTATTGCCAACCAGTTGCATTGTAGTATATGATCATCTTTCTGAAAAATTTGAATAATGTTTTCCTTTTGTTGACAATGTTTTCTATCTACAGTTCAATCAGTGAAGTAATAAAAAATTAAGTAATGAATAAATAGATATATCCTTATGTAAATATTTGTGTTTTAATGTATTTAAATATAACAGGTAATATATCGAAAATTTTACCCATTTTCGATTTCTCTTCCGATTGTACTTAGTTGACTCCATTAGATCCTATAACTTTTCATATGTAGTGCATTCTCTCTCGTTTAATCACCAGATGAAATTACTTGAACAGTAAATATACAGGGTGTCCCAGAATATGTGGGCAATCTCTCGGATTTATACAGGGGACGTTAAAATAACATGACAAGTTCCTATAAAAATTATCCCTATAGCCCCCCCCCCACTACGAAGATATAGACCCCTAAAGGACACCCCTGTACATCGATTTTTTTAATAACTTATGAAACACTGTGTAATTTAATTATTTTTAGGAAAAATAATAGTGTCATTTTTTTAGATAGTCACAGAAATAATGAAAATTTCATCGGTTTATTTCTCTTGGATGTAATAAAAATCATATTAACCAAAAATTGTTTTTTTCTCGAAAACAGTTCTTTTATCGATATCAACCAAGAGTGGCTTTTTTACTTTAAAGTTCAAGCTATATAAAAATATTATTTTTGTGCTTTTATCGTAAAGCCTGTAAAAAATTGATATTATTGTGTTACAGCTAATCCGTCCTTGGCAAACCAAATAAGCCAAATTGTTTTCATGCGTCAATTTTTAAGGAGTCTTATCTGTATTTTAAGTTATTCAAAAAAAAAATCGATATTCAGAGGCGTCCTTTAGGGGCCTGTATCTGCGTAGGGGAACCCTCTAGGGAAAATTTTTATAGGGACTTGTAACGGGTGATTCATTTAGAGGTACTTTTTTCAACAACAAAAAAAATAACAAAATTCTATTTTATGGTGCAATCTTTATTATTATACAAAAAAAAAACTATTTCTGACATTTATTTTTTAAATATTATTTCTTTCAAATGTTGTCCTTGACTGCGGTTGAGATGGTCCATTCTGAAGTTCCAATTTTCGATGACACGTTCGAGCATTTCGAGTGGAATTTGACGAATGACCCGAGTAATGTTGGCTTCCAATTCCTCAATCGTATTCGGCTTATCCATATAGACTTTGGACTTCACGTAGCCCCAAAGGAAAAAGTCTAGAGGTGTGATGTCACATGATCTAGGAGGCCAATTCACTGGTCCAAATCGTGAAATTAACTGTTCATCGAATTGTTCTCGCAATAAAGCCATGGTTGCACGGGCTGTATGGCAAGTGGCGCCGTCTTGTTGGAACCAAATGTCATCGAGATTACGGGCTTCAATTTCAGGCAGCAAATAGTCCGTTAGCATGGCGCGATAACGGGCGCCATTCACAGTTACGTTCCTGCCGGCCTCATTTTTAAAAAAATATGGACCGATGATTCCACCAGCCCATAAACCACACCAAACCGTTGTTTTGTCTGGATGTAATGGCAGCTCTTGAAGTTCTTCGGGTTGTTCTTCATCCCAAATACGGCAATTTTGTTTATTAACATAGCCATTAAGCCAGAAATGGGCCTCATCGCTGAACAAAATTTTGGTCGAAAACATTGGATCTTCTTCAAGCTGTTCAAGAGCCCAAAGACTGAAACGGTGACGATTTGGAAGGTCAGCCGGCTTCAATTCTTGAATGAGTTGAATTTTGTATGCTTTCAAACCAAGATCCTTACGTAAAATACGCCAAGTTGTTGCATACGACAAGCCAAGCTGTTGAGATCGGCGCCGAATTGATTCATTATGGTNTTCTTCTAAAGAAAATATTCACGGGCCACATTCAATCGTCGCAGCCTTTTTTAGTGAATTTTAATGTTACTGAAAGAAGAAATAGAAACTCAGAAATTTTTCATATTCCATTTTCCCATACTAATTGTTATGGACAGAATGAACCAATTATTAGAATCCTGCGTAATGCTAATTTAGTGACCAGTAAATTTGATCTATTTAATTGCTTCCATCATTCAAGAGGTCTGTAAAAAGCTACAAGTAAAAATGCTTGTTCTTAAATGTCTTTGTCATCTGCTTTGTGTTTGTTTTTATTGTAAGTACTGTTATATTTACTTTAATCATATTACTAACTACTTTTAAGTAGCATACACATTTTACTTTATATGTTTTTGTGTTTTTGCTCTAAAAACTATAAAAGGGCTTGTCCCGTTTATCAATAAATAAATAAATATATAAATTAATATTTCTTGTTGTTTTTGCTCTAAAAACTATAAAAGGGCTTGTCCCGTTTATCAATAAATTAATAAATATATAAATTAATAGATAATTTTACATGCAATTCAATAAAATATCACCATAATTAACGCAAACTGAAAAAAAACATAAATTTTTTTCTGATTTCATAAATATTTGTTTGTCATTTTTTTATTAAAGGTCTATAAAATGATAAAATCGTAATTAATACTAAATTAAACATATAGACTTTATAAATGAACATTTTATTCATGCAATACTTGAATTTTGCGCCATTTGTGTGGTAATGTGTTGCCAACGAAAAAAAGAGAGCGTGGAGCGACACAAGAAAGAACGCATTTTCATTGCTGAGCAATATTTTAAAAATAATGAAGATTTGGCAGATACAATTCGCAATTTTTGTATAAAATATGGTAGGAATAGCGATTTAACTTCATTAACTTTGAAGAGATTAATTGAAAAAAAAAATGAGAGAAACTGGATCAATTAGTGATCTTAAACCTGTCTCTCTGGCCGTCCGTCAACAAGTCATTCAACACAAAACATCGAAGCACTTCATGGGAGTGTTGTTGAGAGTCCAGGAACATTAATTCGGCACCGTGGTCAAGAATTGGACATTTCGTGAGCACTCTACAACGTATTCTCATGAAAGATTTGCATCTTCATGCTTACAAAGTTCAAGATGGTCATTTTCATCTCGTTGGCTTCGTTAATTGACAAAATTATCGTATTTGGTGAACAGAAAATCCTCGAGTGATTGTTGAGAATCAAATGCATCCACAACGTGTTACTGTTTGGTGCAAATTTTGGGTTGGAGGCATCATCGCCATCACAATATGATAATCCAGTGTTTTGTACCTAAATTGCAAGATATGGATGTACACAACATGTGGTTTCAACAACGGTGCCACATGTCGTGCAGCCCTAGAAACAATTCAGTTACTGTATGGGCCATTTCTTGGTCGTGTAAGTTTCCCGTTTTGGTGATTAGAATTGTTCGACCAGATTATGCGATTTAATGTCATTGGACTTTTTTCTTTGGGTTTCTTTGAAGTCTAAGGTTTATGTCAACAAGCCCACGACTACTCACGCCTTGAAGGAGAAAATTGTGCGATGTAT